GTCATCAAATATAAATCATGGTATTCACCTAGGTTTTTGATATTGAAATTATCCCATATTACTTTTGCCCTTGTGTGTTGTGTATCTGTTATGCCTTCTTCATATAATTTACTGTAAAAGTCTTCTATACTTGGTAATTGCGATTCATTGAATTTATCAAATGAATTCATGTAGTCGTAAGGATAAACTCCTTTTTCAGTTAATAAGTCTAAATCGGTTTTATTTCTAATATATGGATTTGCTGATGAAAATCGGAAATTATCCTTCCAGTCATTCCGCTTTTTATATATAGGTTTATCATGTTCATCTTTACCTACTATGTCATATTTATTTAACTTAACTAATTTATCCAAAGATGCTGAGAGAAAAGCCATGCTATCTTTAAACTGTAATGAACCAAATGAAAATGTAATAAACTTTTCGCTATTTTGTGCTATTACATCTATTCTCTTATTTTCGTTCAATTCCTTATTTATTTCATTTGCTTTGCCTATTATTAAGTGAGAGTCATAGTTTTTTAAATTATGAAAAAATACTGGTATCTTGAAATATCTAAATGAATAATCCAAATTACATTTTTCGTGAGCACAACCTCTATACTCACCAGTAAAATGACAGTGGTCTCTGACTTTTGTATCTTCTGGTTTAAAATTCTTATTACATATTGAACATACAGTAGCTTTTCTAAATTCTGCTTCTTGTTCATCTGTAATATCCATTGGTTTATTAACATTCATTTTATCAAAAATATCTTTTTTAATTTCTCTTAATTTATTTACAAAGTGGTCTAAACAATCCTCTCCACGGTATAAAAAAGGTTGACTTGTATTATCAATAGAATTTACAACATTCAACATATAACCGCATGGTTTATGTTCCTGATACGTGCCCTTGATGCCATTATTTGAATTTACAGTTATACACTCAAAATCTCCATAAACAACAAATGGACATTTTAATTTTGTATTGTATTTTTCAAATTCAATATAACTACCTTCTTTTGGTAATTTAAACTGTTGTCCATGTGTTGCCATACAACCAGTTTCATAATGTTTTGTTAATAAATCCTTTCTAGTAAAGGCATGAGAACAATAATGACAATAATGTTTTGGTTGGTCATGTTTGTTTGTTTGCCAGTTCATTAAACGACTTAGACTTTTAATAACTACATAATGATTATTATTATTGATTTCAATTTTCAAAAGGTTTATTTGATGTTTAGCATCTCTTGTTTTAGTTCTGTAATCAATCATAATTTTCTTTTCATTCAAAGTATCATCAATTTCATAAACATTGATTGAAACTAACTTACTATTATTTTCTTCAAACCTTTCAATATCTTTATTGCCAGTTGGAAATTTAACACCTTCCCAGTTTAAGATATTGTCGTTTAATTTGTTGTAATGGAACATTTCTTGGGAATTTGATTTATTAATTATATCAAACACTACACTTTGAACACTATATTTAAAACATTTGTTATCTTTGTTTTTGATATTAATACATGCCTTTTTTAGTTTAATCCATTCTGGTAAATCTATATAACTACCCGCCCTAGTTGGGTCATATTTGTCATAATGGATTGTTATTGATAATATCTTTATAAATTTTAAATTAGATGCTGAACCTTCTAACTTTTCTATGTTCAATAAAATCTCTTTGATTGATTTTTCAATTGCTTCATCCAAATCGGTTTCATTATATATGTTTGACCTTGTAGCAGGTAAATTATAAAGTATCTCTGTATGTTTTATTACTCCATCATCATCATAATAATGATAAAATAAACCTTCTGCCCTTATATTCAGTTTCATTGCTCTATTAGATTTCAAAAAGGTCAAAAGTCTATCTTTTTGGTGGTGTATCATTGATAGTGCCTTTTCACCTTGAAAATGTTTATTTACTAGTTTTATAGAATTAGCATAACTTTTGAAAGCTGATTGTTGGTCTGTTACTTGGAATTTATTTTTGATTGCATATTTTGTCATTGCATTTTTCATTCTTTGTTTTAGGTATGTTGAGCGCAATGTTTTTGTTGCATAACTATTATACTCATTAGTTCTTGCTTCTGATTTTAATTTCTTGTTCAAAACATTTGAGATGGGTTGTTCTTTGTTGTATCTAAATTTTCTACCATCTATAATTATTGATTTTAATTCCTTGTTTCCTCTTTTTGGAATTTCCGCTTTATCATTATTCAACAGATAATCTATAACATGTTTCATAATACTATACTATATAAATTTAATGTGTTTATTTCTTTAAGTGACTTTTTAGAAAAATATACTTAAAGATTTAATACCTTAATATATTATAAATAGAAATGGTTGAATTTACTAAAAAAGAGCAAGAAGAAATTATTAATGACTTTTTGAATAAAATAAAAGTTAATGACATTATCAGTAGTTGTAAATGTAAACTAATAAATGAAAAAACTGGACTAACTAAGTTAAATTTACCTAATCCAATTGTTAAAAACATTTGTGATTTTAATTATGTTGAATGCGAGAAATGTTTTTTATTAAGAAATGCAAAGCAAGTTTTACATAAAAGTAATTTACATTCAACATTGAGACAATGTATTTATGATAAATACAAATTGAAATTTGAAGAAAATACATTTCTAAATGATGACTCATCATTAAGAACATATTGTTTTATAAAGTTAAATACATTTCCTACATATGAAAAAGTGAAAAAATATATACTGCAAGATAACGAAACATATATTTTAAAATTTTATAATGATATTAAATATTACTACGAACAATCATATGAAGTTAGTTATGGTGGCAAAACTGGAACAACAAGACCAATTGAAGAATTTAATAATAAAATGATATTTAAATTTATTGATGAGTATGATTTATCAAATAATAAAATTGAAAATGATTGCAAGGAAACATTTTTAAACTACATAAAACAAAGAAACCAAGAATTGAAAATCATAATTGATAAAATATGTGATTATATTAAGGATGAACAGAAGAACAATATAATAGGTAAATTAATGTATGGTGATGTGATAAATGATATTAAAAGTGTTTTAGGAAACTGGGGCATAGATTTTTGCATTTATGATTTTGCTAATAGAAAATATCCATTTAAAAATAATAAACAGAACTTTAAACAAATACCAAAGATTACAAAGGAATATTTAAATACTAATGACTTTGATTAAAACCATACTATAATAATAACATGTAAAATCTTATATGTTATAATTATACTGTACTTATGGTTTGTAAAGATTGAAATATTTTATTTTTCCTAATTTGCTTGTCTCTTTCAAAGTGCGTTGTTTGAACTTGGCATGCTCTTTTGATTTTTTCGTGCTTTGGCTGTTTGTTTTTTATTTTGTTTGATACTCTTCTGATATTTTTTGATGGTATGTTGCTTTGTTTTTGATTTTGTGTGTTTTTGAGTTTGTGTTCTTTGATGGTTTTTATTTTTGCTGTTTTGTTGGTATGCTTGTTTGAATTATTTAATGTTTTATGCTTTGATTAAATATTTTGTTGGGGGTTGTTCTGGTTTTTGAGTTGCTTGGTGGTTCTTATCTTGTTTTCTGTGAATTTTGCTGATTTTGTTGTATGCTGTTTGATTTTTTGGGTTTGATGTTAGAAGTGCCATTTTATGTATTTTTTGGGGGGGGGGGTGTGGTTGGGGGGGGGTGGGGTTGGGGGGGGGGGGGGGGGGGGGGGGGGGGGGGGGGGGGTATTTGGGGGGGGGGGGTGGGTTGGGGGGGGGGGGGAGGGGAGGTGTAGGCAGCTTCGAACCCATCAAACCACGAGCCAAGTCCGCATCTGGAAAAGCCAAAGGGGGATGGCTGTTTGAAGGGAATGGTTGAGAAGCAAGCCCAACCCTAGAGGTCGATCACGTGAAAAAAGGAGAACAGTAAATATCCATGTCGTTTCCAAGAGAACGAAACAACATTATCCATTGATCTCGGGGCAAAGCACGCACTTGTTGACTTGGAATCAAGAGTTGCTAGCGGGCTCTGAGCAAACAACCTGGTGTCAACTCCAGGCGCTCAAAGGCGTGCTTGCGCCGCGCCAAGATAAAACGCTGGTTGATATTTTCAGAGCTGTGCTCAGCATGTGCAGGGCAATATGCAACAACTTGGATATGCGCGTCTCAAAATTGGGGGGGCCCTACCCCCCGGCAAAAAAGAGAGAGAGAGAGAGAGAGAGAGAGAGTGGTTTCCCTTCGATATTCCTTTAGCATAAGCCCAACAAGGGTACCCTCAAACAGATCCATCCATATCTTCACTCTTTGCTTCCTTTCACGGGTTTGCAGCGGAAAAGTCGCAAGGTCAACGTACGTCAGAAGGAGTTCCTCTGGGCGGTCCGCAGTTTTACAGGGAATCCACATGACACTGACCTCTTGGATGAGCCAATGTGGGAATGCACCGGAAGGGGATTCCCTTAAAGGAAACCGCCAGTGAGATGGTTTTTTTGGGGGGTTTCCATTTCTCATTCCCAATGAACCCAGGGATTCCCTTAAAGGAAACCACATGGGATGGTTTTTCTGGGGGTCATTCCATTTCTCATTCCCTGCTGAGCACCAGCAAGTCTTGATATAGCCAGGTACGTTCCCGTCTCCATCCTCTTGCGACACTTCAAATCTCGCCGAGCCCAGAGTTCGCCCCATCGCCATGTTTGAGGCTACCGTCGCGGAGCATTCTGAGGTTCGCATTGCGAATACGTCACGATAAGGGGTGCCTTTTCTGAATTTTGGAAGATACCCAACGGAAACTATTCATTCACTTTGACACCAAATGACTGAACTGAAATATCGCATCTCGCCCCGTGCCCCAAAAATCACTAGACAAGCCTTAGCCTTTGCCTTCGCCTTGATCACCTGAGTGGGGACTCCGAACCATTTTCTTAGCTCTTTTAACATGTTCAGCATGTTTACGCATCAATGAAACCAGCAACACTACATGCAAGGGCCAACCATTTTTGGACCGTGCTCAGACTCTCTTGAATCCACCGAGTTGCACTGCCCTCTTCGCGGAGAAGGATGTGAGAGTCTCTTTGAACTCTGACATCCTGGGCATTCAAGTAAACCCGTTCCACTTGTTTTGGGGAAATCAACCACTTCCGGGAAATATCTCTAGCTTAGGGCACTCATAACATGAAACCCTGCAGATTGCTCTTTGACGATTCCATGACCCTAGTGCTAAAACCCCTTAACATACAGTTGTCTATATATAAGTTCTTCTGGTTTGCCAAAAGCTTTGACTACGGTGACCTCTTCTCTCTCATGACCCCCTTTCTAAGCAACAGCGGCAATTACCCTTGCAGTTTCTGACGATGTCCACTATCCTCAAGCCACTACGCCCACAGGAAAACTGGGTATATACACTTTACAAGGGGCTATAATATGTTTGTTGCTTCAAGAAACGCACAGGGTGTAGTGGAAACCATCTTAGATGCAGAATTAACCGTCCCAACAACCATCGCATTGGTAGAGAGCTCCTTTTGTCTCTGTAGTCTCATGGCTCGCAATGTTGCTCTCTGCAGATTCTCCCCTATACAGTGGCAGAAGGAACCCAAAAGGGGGGGGTACCCCCAAAGGAGTTTCCTCTACAAATGGTGCTTTGTGGGGTCCATGTAAATCGCTGTTTATATGCAGGGGAGTCTGCCACATCGAGGTACCTCCATTGTTTTGGTGGCTTGCCTTCTTGCCGTTACCCCAACAAGGCTTCCCTCAGAAAAAGGAAACAAAACACCGTCTTGAACCCTGCCTCAAACACCAAACAGTCCCCTCAACTTGGAAGGCCGTGCTAGGCGTTGATCTGTTTTTCATCCACTGGTAAAGGGTCCAAACTAGCAAAGGAGTTGAGGCGAAGTCCACAAACCTCTTGGGGCCCAAGCCACTTGCTTGCTTTTCTTCATTCTTTTGTTTTGCCCATTGTTGATCTAATTAACAACCCTACAAATCCACAAACACTGTGTTTGTGTCTTTTAGTGTCTTTTGCTGTTTCGAAACAAAAGGGCCAACACACCCTTTCGCTAACAACTCTGCCTCAAATTGCCAAATAGAACCAATCAAACAACCAATAGCAACAGCTCTCGAACAAACCGAGACAAAGAATTGCACCGAGCCCTGCCTAAACCTTGGTCAAGCCCCCGGGATTTGTTTTTTGTTTTAAATCCAGTAGTGAGACCGATTCCCTTTAAAACCAAACCGGAACTCCGAGGTTGACCACAGAAACCACCCCCACAATCTTCCATTTGCTTCAGCCCCCTGGGAAAAAAGCAGTGACAGATTCCGTTTTAACCCAAAAAGGGACAATAAAAACCATATTGATGTATTCATTTCAGATCATTTCAGCAAATGGAAGTTTCTGTGGTCGACGTAAAACCCCAAATACCTCCATTTGCTGAAGTCCCCTGGAAAAAAAACAAAAACATGCGCAGTAGTGAAATCGATTCCCTTTAAAACCAACAGAGGAAACTCAAACACATATTCTTAAACAAATGGAAGTAATGCAAACTTATGGGGATGGCTCGGAACCAGCAAGGCAAAGGATGTAGACCAAAGGGTTCCCAAAGGTGCAGAGCTTCAGGAACTTTGAGCCCCAAACTTGTTTTTCGCTCATTTCGCCCTAGGTGGTGGAATTGGGTGCCCTTCCTCTCACGGAACGAGGCGCTGCTTCTCGAGGCCATCTTTCAGCTCCGTCAGGGAGCTGCGGAGGCCCTCCTGCTCGGCGCTCAGCTCCTGCGAGAGAACAAAACCGCCGGAACAGCCGGAGGACTGGCTTAACATCTTTTGTTGAGTGTTGTTTGGTTGCTCCTTTTTTGGTTTGGTTGGTTGGTTGGTTGGTAGGTTGGTTGGTTGGTCGGTTGGTCGCTTGGCGACTGAACAGGTAGTTTCCCACACGCTGCAGCTCAGGAGGCGCACTGACTGACAAGACACGAGTCTAGTTGGACCACTCAGATAAGCACTCAATTAGCAGTAACGGGTTTTGCTGGGCTTTGAGCATGACGTTGACCTGTGGCTGGGTTTCGCTTTTCATGACTTCGTGTACCCGACCTCTGAACTTCCATTTGGGTAAGACCCCTGGAAAAATAACAATACTTCACGTAGTGATAGATTCCCTTTAAAGCCAACAGGGGAAACATATTCTTAAGCAACAGGAAGTGAAGCATTTGTCTCAGTTTGAGCAGAGTTGAGCTCATCATCATACTCTTGCCGGCCCTCCGCGCAGAAATGCGCGGAAGTAAGACATCACAAGTCCTGAAAAAGAGAAGAAGCAGAAAGCACAACGGAACCTGCTCATTACTGTAAAGAGTTTTAGGTGGAAAAACCCCAGCCACAGCGCCCAGTTGTGCCTTTTTCCTGCGGCTGGTCAAAAAGCCAAATGAGCTTCTCAGGTGCGGGGCCTGCACTCCGGCAGAAAGATCGGATCAAACCTCAAGATCTCTGGGATCCGGACACTACGTCCATTGAAGTGACATCCTCGAAAATGCGATCTAAATGCTCGTCTAAAGACCCCACAAAAGTAGCTTGAGAAGCCTGAAATTGCTCACTTTGTTCCACCAGTGCAGGGGCCGAACGCTGCCCGCTGCGGCATTTGAATCGGCATTTGAATCTTGCTCTTGGAACAATTCGCCTGGCTTCCCCCTGCCATCGCCCCTTTGAACAGAAGGATCCAGTCAAACCTGCGCGGAGAGATCACTCATCGAGACATCATCACGTGCCGTGCTGAAAGGCGCCTGCCAGCCAGCCTGGCAATTGCTTCAGCCCCTGGAAGAATACACCTATGTCCACTTGCACGACCGCACGGGCTCTTGCACCCGCCCCCACGTATCTCACCCCGCTTGTGGATAGTGGTACGGCTCCGCGGGGTGCGAAACCCCCAAGGCCCCTACATATCTCGCCCCGCGTGCAGATTCCCGCTAAAATCAAAGAACAAAACACCCATAATTAGCTTCGCATGTCTAAACATGGGGCACGGCTTGGACGGGGACAAGCAAATGGAACAGGCCCTCCGATTCTTTTCGCAGCACTTCGCGGCACCCCTCTCGCGCCTTGACGCCTGCATCCAGCATGTGCAGCATGGCATCTGCGGCCTCAAGAAGCCTTTCCACCTGCCAGGGGCATGGGCGTCTCTCATGAGCTTCATGGTGAAGAAAGTTCCTGCACCTTTCTCAAGCAACTAGGTCCTCCAGTAGAGAGGTTAGAATAAGGGTACAAACTGTTTGTTCCTGTTGTCTATTTTAGTAGGGGAGCCCTCCCCCAAAAAAGAGTAAAAAAGGCACTACCAACTTCGAAGCAATGTGGCCATGGGTCAAAACCCGAATCGTACCCCCAGTCAACATCCCAATCCAACCACTAAAATAGGTTCAAAAATGAGCAATGCACCTACGCCAAAATGGCACCATTGGTTTCGACACACAGCCAGACCAGAGCGGAACGGAGGGCGGCAACACAATACAAAACTCAATTTCCTCAAGGGTTCCCTTCCCATCCACGAACATTTAGCCCCACAGAATTGGTGTTTATTTCACAAAAGGGATTAACCCATACCGAGCCTCTGAAAACAGGAGCCAGCCCTTATATGGCCATGGGCCAATGGGTCAAAACCCCGGTTAGCCCCCAGTGAACATCCCAATCCCCCCCAAAAAATAGGGGGTCATGGAAGACAAGTTTCCTTCAGAAGAGAGCCCCTGGTGGGTTCCATGTTGGCGTGGACCGGAGGGTACCGAAGATTCAGCAAATCTGTTGAGCCATTGCCAGATACATCCAACCCCCACCAACAAACCATGCAACCAAGCAAGCAAGCAAGCAAGCAAGCAAGTAAGGAACCAATCAACCAAGTAACCAAACCCGGCAATCACGCAACCACACAGTAGTAACTCTATTTTGAAAAGGAGAACTCCTGGCTTTAAGTGCGTCTTAGGATCGTCAAAAAGATCCCCTGCCCCCAACCAGCCCCAAGCACCCCCAATCACCCCAAGCACTTTCAAGTGAAAGGCAGGGAGGGGAGGCGACGCTGGGCCTCGGTGAGTTCTGAGCTGCCACTGCTCTGCGCCACTTCCAGGCGCGCGCAGGCGTCGCAGAGCAGCTCCTGAGACTCCGCCGGTTGGGACCCACCGGCTCTGGGGGTCCTGGCCGATGCCCCAATCACTCGGCTGTAAAAAAAGGACCTCAGCAAACAACTGCTTATGTGTTTTGCCTGGCGAGTGGAAAACAAATGGGGATCAAAAGAAAGCTAAGAAAGAAAAGGGGAACTATTTCTGGGGAAGATGAAAGAATGGCCCAAGGGGACCCAGTTTGGATGATGAACAAATCCCGAGGTAAATCATGGTGGTTGTGTTCACCCCCTTGTGTTCCTTCTTGCTGGGGTTCCTTGTCGATGCCCATGAAAATCATGGCCCAAGGTGACCCAAGTTGGATGAAAGTTCGAAAGGGTAAATGGTGGTTATACTATCCCAGCCATTGTTTCAATGGTGGCAACTGAACTCCATGACGTGGAATCTCCAGATCCAAGCACCGCTGTCTTTTGGTGCAAGCTGGAACCCGATCAGTGGAACGCGCTTCGGACCACCCATGTCAGCATTTTGGGTGCGTACCACCTATGTGCCAATGACACTTATGTGCCAATGACATTTAGCCTCCCAAATATTCTTGCCCACGTGCGGCGGGCTTCCCACTATCGCCCACATGCGGCAGCTGACAGGGACAATAAGTCGACTCTCTGCCTGCTTCCATCTGAAAATCACCTTCTAGACCCTCGACCTACAACAATAATGACAGCAAGACTGTATGTCTCCAAAAAAGACTCCCACAAAAACACGCCTGTACTCCCAAAATCAAACCACTGGTGGATAAATGTCGACTCCAAAAGGGAAAGCGTAAGTAAACATGGGGAAGGCGTGCCCATGTTTCACATGCGGAAAGAACAAAAAACACGCCGCGGGACAAAGGCCCAAGGCTTGGAGTTGTTTTTTTGGGGCTCTCTTAAAAGCAATGGGAATCGATCTCTACGCGATCGGATTGGTCTCTTAAGCAACTAGAAACAACACCGACTCCATGTTGTCTCGGCCATCGAATTTGGCGAAACCCACCAGGTGCACACTTGCTGGCCATTGCCCGTGCAAAAAGTTGAACTTCTTGTTGATTGGTGATTAGCGGGACAAAGGTTGGGAAGCTCAAATGAATTGGACACTCAAGTCATTATTCATTCGGGGGGGCCTTTACAAATCCCCAGTCGACATAAGTGGGACAAAGTTGGAGGTTGCGGCTGTTGCCCTCTTTGCAAGAACAACAACTTGTCGGTGGCTGTTGCCCCCTTGACTAGTGGGAGCAATATACATCAACACAACCCCCAACAGCACACACCAAACCTCAAGAGAATCACCGCAACAGGCACTGAAAACACCCTTGCGGGGCACAGGATTTCCCCTTCAAGAGTTGCCATTTACTGGTGGTTTTCATTGAAACTGTTGCTTGTTGAGGTCCAACAAACAAGAATTGAGGGACGAATGTGGGAAAGCCCCACAATGGTTTGTCTCAAAATGGCCTCCGGTGTCCTTTTTGGTGTCCCTTGAAAACCAACCAAAAGGGGTGCCCTCAAAACAAAAGACACACTTATGCGGGTGTGGCTCAAAAATAGGGAGCGTCCCAAAATGGAGCCCTCAACGGAGCCCGCATTCGTCAAATTCTGGGAATGAAGCGTGGATGCCCAAGGAAACCACCAGGATGGCACTCGGGAATTTGAGCCGGTACCTTGCCACTTTTGAGCCAAGGGAATCCGTAAGGATCGGTGCGTTCAACAAATAGTCTACATGGTATGGCTGGCGCTCTGCCTGAGCATGGTTGGTTTACTCGCAATACTGCGCACTGAGCGGGTGATTGTTCACCAACCGATCCGAGCCCATGCAGGGTTTGCCTTTTCCACTGAAATGAACAGCCTCCCTTCAAAAAAAGGTTTTACACCTGGAAAAATGCTTTTTTTTCAACCACACCAGAAAGGCTTTCCGAACAAGCGAACCTCCAAAATTGCTTCTTCACCACGAGAAAGAAATGACAGGGAAAAAATGACAGGAAATGGCAACATGGCTTCCAGGCAATATGCGAAATTTATCAGTGGAAAAGGCAAACCATGAGCCCAAGGTCCACCCTAGGCATTTTTGCCAGCTGAGAGTCCCTAACAATCCCGTGCTTCGGGACCTCCGATGACCGTCTGGGCCCCTGGCCGCGCGCGCCCTTAGCTGGGCCGCCTCCGCCTCTGCGGACCTAGGTGGGTAGGTACCAAACACACGTTGACTGCCTTGACAAAGAAAGCAAACAAAAGAAAAAGAAAAACAGCAAGCAAGACACACAACCAAATGAAAGAACGGAACACAAAAAACTAAAAAAAAACAGAAAAGAAAAGAAAAGAAAAGAAAAGAGAGAAAATAAAAGAGAGAAGAACAAAAAGATAACGAAGAGAGAAGAACGATAAAACAAGAGAGAAGGAAAGATAACAAAAGAAATAAAGACAGACAGGAAGGAATGACGCTTTCCTTCCTTTCACTTTTCTTTCTTTCCTTCTTTGTTTATTTCTTGCTTCCCTCCTTCGTTCCTTCAATGCTTGCGTCCTTTATGTTGTTCTTTATTCCGTTCTTTCTTTCTCACGTTCTCTTGATTTATTTATGGATTTATTTGCGTACTTTCTTTCTTTATATATATGTATTTATTTATGTCTATCAAGGAAGGACAAAACCAAGGAAGAAAGAACGACATAAAGCAAAGAACGGAAGAAAGAACACAATAACAAGAGGAAGGAGGGACGGACGGACGGACGGAAAGAAGGAAGGAAGGAATTACATAAAGAAACAAACAATAACACCATAAAGACAACTTGAAAAAAACACAGCCTTCCGAGTTGCTATTTTGCAGACTCATACCCGGCAAATGCAACAACAACTAATTTAAACATCACCTCTAGGTGTCCACCCAATGGGGGGCTGAAGCGCGGGGCTTTCTGAAAATAGACCACACGCCAAAACGACTCATGGGTTGGAACTTTGAAAACGCAAGTCGAAACCGGGTTTAGTGCTTCCGGCTCATGTCCAGAACATACTGAAACAAATCAAGCAGAATACACGGGGCTTTTGCAATTTCGACGCTCGGCGCGAACAACACATTGTGGGACTCACTCATCCAAGGACATATCTGCCAGAACACTCCGGGTAACAACCGTCAACAAAGGACCATCATAAGGAAATGGCCAGTCTACCAGCCTGCGGCGCAATCTGCTCCGAGACAGGGCCGCAATTCGGTTGCGCGAATCGGACTCCTACTTTCGGTGTCCAGGACAAGCCGAATCGTTCACCAAACTATGGTCCCAAGCTAGCTGGACACGTAAAAGCCTACAATTGTGTGGATTGCGCGGCCGAGAGAAGGAGGGCATCAAACATGCAGCCGGAATGCCGTGAGGACGATGTACTCTCAGTGTCAGAAGGCTTCTAGAACAGGGTGGGCCTTTTAGACATGTTGGTGTCGGGCCGCCCTATTTGAAGACACACCCAACATGCTTCAAACGTTGAGGATGGACTGGTGCCGAATAAAACAGGAAGCAATCAAGCAATCAAGCAACATTTCGACCTACATCCACAGGCTGTCTTCCACGGATTGATTCAGGATCATTCTAAGGCAAACTATCCCTGGGTATGCAAGGTTTGCAGTCGAGTGTATCTGTGCTTTGCCAAGTGCGAAGAATCAGAACACCACCGCAACATTTCAAACCCATGGATAATGAACTAGGCAATGTGGCTCAATAGTGTCTCACGGCTCCATTCCAATCGTTTAGGCATGTTTAGGCCCTCATACTGTGGATCGGATAGACAAATTCCCACAACCTAAGAAACCACGGAATGATTTGATTCCCCTCTGAATAGCAACAATAAATGGTCTCACCCATGGTTTCGTGTCGTGGTGCGGCGGATTTCAATTTCAAGCATCAGTACCGCACTCGAAGTCCATCAAGAACCCCGCAGAACAATGGGTGCAGGCCAGCAAAAAGAAGCGGCTCCGATCTATGGCTTCTGAAGCTCCCAGGGACTAGGTATGTCTCAGGTGCCAAAACAGGCAGTTGAACATTCCCCTTGGATTGCCGTAAATTTTATCTACCTCGGAGCTCTCGAGCCTGGGGATTCATGGAAGCCAGGGATGCCACATGGGTGTGGTGTGTACGTCCTCAGGGAACCCATGTCAGCTTGGTAGCGGGAAGCCAAAAGGACCGCCGAACGCCTTCGGCGGGTCCGAAACGCACGAAGCAAACCAAACCGAGTGAACGGGGGGGGGAGGGGTGTGATTTCAGCTTGGTGGAAGCCAAAAGGCCCAGAACCCATGGCACGAACCGAATGACGTTTGGGGGGGGCGTCTGGGGCCGCGGCTTCAGCTTGCTCTTGGCCAGAGCCGCGCGGATGCCCCCCTTGGACATCCTAGCCGGGGAGAGAAAGCTCAGCCTAACCACCCAGAGGTCTAAGACCAAGGGTTCAGGGAATGACTTGCTTCTCTGTCGAATTTTTCGAGGGGCTTGGGGAACGAAGCTGGGGATTCCCAGGAAACCAGTTGGGCGGTGAGGGCTCCGTTCTATCCCTGAGACCCAGCAAGATCAGGTTGTCTTTGGGGGATCGCGGACTTGCTCACTTCAACAAACCAAACTTGGCCTTCGTCGCACCTGGCGGAGAGTCCCGAAAAAAAGGAAGTTTATCTTCCACCACAACTAGGTCCTCCAGTAGAGAGGCTGGAATAGGGGTACCCTTTTTTTTCTGTAGTCTATTCTAGTAGGGGAACCCTCCCCCAAAAAAGGGTAATTGCCGTGTTTGCAGGAGGAAGGGAAACCATCCCCTGGCTTCCCTTTGGTTGAATTGCCACAGGCTAGAAGGATCCCCCGTCAAAGATCCACGAAACATCAAGATGCCCCTCATGGAAGGAATCAACTTGTAAGCTGCAGCAAGGTCAGGCCAAACTAAATGTCAAGAAAGGTCTTTGCTTTTCTTGCTGGACAAGTCTTACACATGTTTTTGCCCTGTGGGTCAGCTTTGGGCTTGTTCCGCAGTCTGTCTTGGACATTCTGTCTGGTCTTGTGCCGAATTCCTAACGAGCCAACCGCCCCCCCGCAAAAGCAAAGTCAACGTCTCTAACTTAGTATTCCCCCAAAGTCGAACAGTGCCTTGTGTTGGCTCAAACAGAATCTTTGCGCGCTCACTCGCCAGCGTTCAAGCCACGATGAAACATCCCAGTTGCCGAGTGACCTTGGTGGGCGTTCTTCTTGGGGTCCATTTCTAGCAAACAAAATGGATAAGCGGGTGAACTCCACTGAATAATTGGGACAAATTGTGGTTTCGCCCGAAGCAAACAAAACGGCTGCTATAATCTAGGGTCCCCATAGACCTCTCTAAACCGGGTAAACATAAAGCCAAACAAAAGAACATGGACGTGTCTCCAAATGGGAAATCCTCAAAATGGGCAGTTTCTGTTTGCTTTTTCTAGAAGCACCAAACCAAAAAGGTCAAAAATACTCACGTTAGTCACTGCTTAAAAATGTGCGTGTTTCTGTTGGCTCGCCTTCAAACCAACCAAGAAAAGGATACCTTCAACAGAAACATGCCTGGACCCCGAAACTACCTCAAGAAAATGGGACACGGCCCCCCAATCATGGGCCGAGTTCCCATGTTCAAAGGCAGTTTGCGGGTCCCAGATTGCTTCGAGCAAAACGGGCGCCGGGCGCCGGGCCCTTCTTTGGAGCGCAGCAGCTCAGAAGACTCCTCCAAATGACCGGTGAGTCAGATTTCAGAAGCCTGGTGCGCAAGGAATATGTGGGGGTTGATCAAAGGTCCGGTATACATGTTGTGACCATTCTTGGCTGACGTTGGAAGGGGAGCAACCAGTTAAATTTTAACAGTTAAGTGGTGTTTCCCACTAAACCACACTAAGCCCGCATGTAAAATGTTTCCCAACAACAACTATGCATTAGGGAAACCATGAAAAAACCATGACTTGCACCACTCAATGGAAAAAAATACCCATGGTCATTTTGGGGCCAGGAATATTGAGCAACCAAGCCCCATGTGTAAAAATAGCGGGCACCCTGCAAATCTTGGTTCTCCTGTTGGTTTCCACTTTCGACCTAGGTACCCTCAAAAAACACACGCCCAAAGGAGCCTATCCAGACCCTGCAAAGAATCAAAAGGAGGGCAGCATCTATTTCTGGTTGGGATTGTCCCTTCATCCAGCCGAGGTTTGATTGTGGCTCCAGGATATCCGGCGACGCTGAGGAAACACACACAGACAGAAACACACACACACAACCAAAAACAAAGACAATCACACAGAAATGCACAATAATACACAAACACAAACACAAACAC